GTCATTTAAAACGTCTTGAGATTTAGTTCGGTTAGAATAAGACCTACTTTCCTTCCACGAGAAAGTAAGCATTTTCTTAATTAAGAAGTCATCTTTAATTTTCAATGTCTGCCTTATAGTTAACCAGCTCAATATTGTGCAAAATAGCAGAAATGTGACACGTTTTATTTACCAAAAGAATCTTTCATGAACATATCTTCGATCGCATGACGAGAGATCAGCTCAAAGTATTCGTCTGGGGATAAAGCATTCGTGACAGTCGTGGTGTGAAAGATGATCTCGGATGCTTTCTTCTCCAGGGCAAGTTGCTGCTGAAGGTATTGGTCCCGTTGGATTCTCAGGTAGGATCGCAAATAGACCTTAAGAAATTAAGAATGCATGAAAGCACACATGAATCACTGTGTTAACCAACCATTGTCTCCTCCGCTGGCGATTCGTTTTTCGCACAGAGGCCAGCGCGAAACGCGAGTGACACGCAGGACTGGTGAAGAAGCGCAATGGACCATGGGAAGGAGAAAAATGAGAGGTGAAGCGGCGTCTTGCCCGTTCTCTCCTTCCCGCCTTCCTTTGCGCGCACTTTTTTATGGATAGAGACTGACCAGGGAGAGACATTTGGGTACGAGGCAGCAACTAAGATATTTGCCAGTCAATGGTCTCTTAGTTAGTCGTGCGGTTGCTTGGCTAATCGAACTCACGTCCCTCCGAGTTCTAGTTTGGATGCTCTAAACCACTGAGCTACAGAGCTATAACTTAAATACAAAGCATTAGTACCTCTCCAGGCTGAATGTCCTCGGCCTCTTGAATAGTTCCTGTGCTCAATAACTGCACAAATTCCCAGGGCTTTATGGTCACCTTCAGAGTGAGAAGATTTCCGTTTGCTTCCAGGTCCGACTTATCCGAAGTCTCAAAGTTGTAATGGATCATCTAAAAAGTGGTAACAAAAAAACGGATCCACTGTCTTAATTAATCTCCTACAGGCATACACTGTCTCATATTGCCGTGACAGCTGTTGAATTTACAACACTGACAAACAAATCGACTTGACTGTCTTAAAGTAGTTTCCCTATACCTCTGACAGTCTCTCGTGCACCTTTCCCGAAGACTGATTTTACTTCAGCCTTCAAGTCCAATTCCTCATTCTATCCCCAAATAGTATCTTCTATTCTTATTGTCACACACTTACAGTCTTTGTTTGATCATAATTTTATCATTACAGTCGAACCCCACTATTTCGAAGTCCCAAGGGAAATGGAAAAAAGTTCGAAATAGCGGGGCTTCGAAATAACCGGGGAAGCGTAAAGGGGAAGGGTAAATCCAAGGGCATTCGGTCTTCCTTCGAAATAGCGGGGACTTCGAATTAACCGAGTTCGAAATAGCGAGGTTTGACTGTATTTTCACGAGATAAGAAGTGCGTTATAGTATCGATAGAAAACCAAAATGTAAAGCCACAGTATTTGAGACTACTCTATACTAATGTAGTGCAATGAAAATAGTTATGTATCCTTCACCCCAGTTGTCGGTCAGGGTGAATACGGGTTGTTTATACTTAAGAAAGTTTTCGCACAGTGTTTTTGTTTTCCCTTCAGGTGGACCCCAAAAGTCATTGTCAACCAATTTGTTTTCAAATTGAAGTATTTGATTTCGTTACGGTTCTGGAGTTCTAGGAACACTATTTGGTGCAGATTCTATTACTGGTTATGTCTTTCGAAATTTCAATCCAAGACATTAAACTGCAGAAGAAGAATAATAAGACGACAACGAAGAAAAAGAAGGAGAAGACGGCATGTCAGGCATGCAGAGAAAGGAAAAGAACAAACGAAGCGAAACTTTCACTTGTCACCTCAGTTAGTAGTATATACCTTAGCATTAACGGCAAATTTCTGAAAAAAGCTTTTGTACTCTTGACGATGAAGGTCACATCCAAGAAACAGCACAGATCGTTCGTTGAAAATTCGATGCATAAAGTCAACTTCTGCACTTTCAAGAGTGCTGCAAAAGTCCTCAAAGTAGTTCTTGCTGCTGGGCTTCAAAAGAAAAAATGTTGAGCTTAATAATTTTATTGCTATTATTAAAACTGAAAACGGAAACTGTTTTTGATTTTCAGGGGATCAGTCAGTGTAAATAGACAAGCCAAATGTATTGTTGACAAACTGCACGAGGAATAATTTACTAATTTCACGACTATAGCTTTTATTTACCTATTGATATCATGGGTGAAAAACTTCGCTTTGTACCGTTCGCAATTCCGCCCATTAAAAAGTTTCATTGAAGTCCTCAATTCTCTGAGTCGTTTTAAAAATAACCCCTTAGAATCCATCCTGCTGTTAGAGATTATGCTTTTTTCCTGTCTTAGGTTTTTCTACCCTGCCTTTTTGTCCTGATATCTTTATTCGCAACATTTTTTAAACCTGGACGCCAACCTGGTTTGGAACGTTGCCATAGCAATTTTGTAACTTTCACATGTGAAAAAGACCTCTTTAGCTTGCATGTTTTGTTCTCCTAATGGAGGTCATGTGATAATACTATAGAGATCTCTGTTTCTTTCAAGCTTTTTCTTATTGGCTTGCATATGTACGCATAATCAGGCATAATTCTTGAAAAGACAAGAGGTCAAATTCACCTGGGATATTCACAGAGAAACAAAACATACAAGCTGAAGAGGTCTCTGCTGGAATTTCGTGCCAGATCTGTCGCCCATGATTTAAAGTTTGTGCGAACTTACCTTTGTCCGGACATTAAAACTGCTATCTCCAAGACATTTGATAATCAGATCTCTGTGCAGGTTAGGCCAGGAAGGAGCTACACATGAAATCTGAAAAGGGACATTTTCATTTTGAATACTCAGGACTTCTGAATACTCAAAAAGGTAAGATGTGGATTAAATACCAAACTGTTTGATGGGATGTTAAGTGGGACCCAGTATTTCCAGAAACTTATAAGGGGTTGAACAACATCTTTGAAGGGTTGGTGCAGTAAATTGGTTTGAAATCGGGATGAGTATAGTCCAGGGCCCGGTTCCTCGAGTTTAAGTTTAACCCAGGATTAACCCAAATTTTAAGCAAGGATTTCTCGTCTAAGGACGTGCAACTCGAGGTTACAAAATACTGTTGAGCTTTTACTACGAAGTACAGTAATGATGACTCAAAATGTTACCCTAAGCAACGCGTAGGAAGGTAAATTCAAAAACGGGGTACAAAATTTTAATCTTCGATTAGGGAAAGTTCATTTAATATGACAAGGGGGAGGGATGAAGATATTGAAACTCGAAGCTTGAAATTTTAGCAGCCCCCCTCGCTAGCGGTTCAATTTTTTAGGAGCCCCCTCCTTGGTAGTCGAAAAAATTTCAGAGCCCCCCCCCCCCTCCTCCTTCAATTCCTTTGCAATATCTTCATCCCCCCCTTGTCATATTAAATGAACTTTCCCTTAGCGCTTATAATCTCTTCGCTGTAGTGTACAGCGGTTTATCGTGACTCGCATGCGGGACTTGCATCCGGGACTTGTTAAGTTTCAATTTAAAATGAGAGAGCGCGCTGAAGAAGTGTGTTGATTTTAAAAGCCTCTGTGGCGGTTTTCATTAAACAAGTTCTATTTTGATCACCTGTAAAGGGATAGAACTCTCTAAATCATGAAGTAGTGGGTCAAAATTGTATCGAAATATTATCGAGACCAGTTCTTGAGAAAAATCTACGAAAAAACAAGCTTAAACTTAACAAACACATCGCGGTGATTTCGGTAGCGTCATGTAAAATTCACGTTTCGTTGAGTCAACAAGCGATTGTCAGCAATAAAAGACTGTTTTCCACTTGCCTGATCAAGTCGAACTTTGTCTCCAACATTCCCAGCCTTCCAAAGGAAGCGCTCTAACAGGTCATCCATGTTCGTCGTTATGATAACAGGAAACTTCCCAACATTCCGCAGCGCATCATGAACACGTGAAGGCGCTTGCTGTATGTTTGCCAGGAATTTGTCCTCAAGATCAAATAGAGTGTCGACGCCTTTCTGTTAGGGAAAGATGAACAATGAAATCCGCCAGTAAAACTTAAGAAACAAAAAAACTAATAGACACAATAGGCTGACACATAATTAAAACCAACAAAATTTAACGTATAAATTTAAATCGGATTGCACGCTGCCTAGCAAACAACCAACTAAGAGGGTTAGGATTGTGTACTGATGATTGGATCCATCCTCTATTAACCACATCATGAAAGTCATCATGAATCGACAAACATGCTTTAAAAGGTGGAACTATCTCAGTATACTCTTTGAACTGCTCAAACTCTGGGCAAGTCACCCTTAATTTTTCGATCGGTGGTGAAGAAGACGAGGCTCGCGCCGTCGATCGTACTTGTTTTTGTGATTCAGTGTTAGGTTTGGACCCCAGAGGGTACTCCCAAACGCTTTACACAGGGAGGCTCCGCCCCGAGGTTCAATCCCTTACCTATTTACAGAAGAGCTACCCCTTTTTAAGGTACCCCGTAAACCTTCTATTGACAAACGGTACCCCTTTCATAAATCTAGTTTAGAAGTTTGCATCCCTTTTATAGACTGCTGTAAATGCACTGTCTTTTAAACTAGTAAATTGTCTCGACGTTTTTCACACCCGTAAATTCATTCTCCTATTAGCTCTTTTAGGTCTTTTTACAGGAGGAAATGACAGATTTCCTCACCCTTTCAAATACCTGAAGCCTGATAATGGTACCCATTTTGGGTGGAGCCTCCACGTATAGGCAAGAGAGAATAATCTAGATCATTCTCTCTTGGTATAGGCAATTATAGAGATCACCCCCGGGCCGTATTTCGGAGTTTCAAACAGCTCTTACCTCTGACTGGTTAATAACCTGCCACCAATCATCCAATGAAGGATAGGGACTGTCAGGGGAAGTTAACGCTGAAGCTTGTTCACCAACGAATAGCACAAGCATTCCCCTGGCGATTTTTGATCGGATAGTTTCAAGGTGAGTGGACAACTGCAAGCGCACGTCGTCAGCTGAGTCCATTGTAGACTAACGTGATTGTTGGCTGCATTGAGTTAAACAAACAAACAAAGCAAATGAATTAATTGAACTGAAATGTACTGAACTCAGTGTTGCTGCTAACCCTTTTTGTGAATTTCGTAGGAGTAACAACTCGAGCCTTTGCTTTTCAATTCTCTGTTATTCAGGAAGTTCAGTTTTCTTAAAGTTTTTCGTCATCCGTGCGTTTAATTGGTTTTTACGGCGAGGCAGAGCCCAATTTTTCTCCGTGCTCTGTTAGAGTTTATTTCCACAGTACCTGCCTGTATAGTGTTTTTTCTGTTAAGCGCGTTTCTGCTACATGGGGGGTAAAAACGGTCTTGAAATCTCTTCCTTTTTTCTAATTTCATGTGGGAAGATCAAGCTGTAACTGTCCGATCCTTCTTCCTTGCTCTTTTTCTCTCTTTCTTTTTCATTTTCTTCCAAATCTAGTTTTGTTGCGCACCTTATATCGTGTCTCTTTTCCATGGAATTACGGCTGGCTAACTTTCCAGGAAAGCCCCAGAAAGGGGTGACAGAAAACATGACAACTGCCTTCCTCTCACTTTAAAAACCTTTTTTGCTAAAATCGTTATATTTGGCGAATTTATGTCGAAAAAAGCCAATTCAAAGCAAGCCGGTTGCTTTGAGATTTCCTTCTTAATCAATATACTCAGTATAACCTGTGATCTCCTAGAAGTGAATATTGTCAGACAAGAAACTGATAGTTTATCAGTCATGTGTTTAAAGAATATTTGTACCAAAGCCAATAATACGGCGGGTAAACGAGATTTTCCGTTTTCAAAGTATAGTTCCAACAGCATTAAAAAATAAAATGTATAACGCTTTTATTGTTCCATATATTATTTTAGATATTGTTCGGCAGTTTCAGTTGGCACTTTTGTAGGGCTCCGAAAAAGCCGCTGGGATTTTTCTCAATCAGAAATTTTTGCCTTACCAGGAACTTCTAAGTGAGATAAATTATAGTGATTTGTACAGTACCAGGTGCCATGATATGATAATCATAGTTTTAAGGCAAAGATAAGTGTCACGATACCGAATTATCCGAGTGGAATGTGTCAAATAAGGAATGCTACTCATAATCTGCGGGGCCGGATTAAACAAACTTGTTGTTTCATACGTTAACACAACAACTCATGGTTTACACTCCTTTCCCCGGAGTAGTCAATCGATAAATCGATAAAAATCGGTAAATCTAATTTGATTGATAACGATTTATCGATTAATCGATAGAAATCGGTGACACACTCGTTTCGTTTATCGATTTATCTCGATTTTTACCCATTTCATCGATTTCAGTATCGGAAGATACTTCTGTACAAGATACATAAGTTGTGGTTGTATTAAACAGTTTCCACACTGTATTTACAGTATTTTCATTTTGTGGATCAGTTGTTACTCGTGAATGTGCTCTTACCTAAGTCACGCTAAATAAACAACTATGACAGACTTCAGCTATAAAACGTCAAAATCATGACAATCGATAATATCGATTTGACACAGCAATAATTTAGTTTTTCGATTTTCACCGATTTCCGTTATCAATCGATAAAAATCACTTTCAGACTGCTACCGATTTTTATCGATTGACTACACCGCGGGGTCCTTTAGGTATTCATCAACAACTATCTGAACTATGCAGAATGGACTCACGGAGGAACTGAGGTCTGCAACACGCAAAAACGAGTTTATATCCCTACACTGGCTAACGAACTCATTGCGTCATAGATTAGAGCGCTGGCGTTTTGAAAAAAAACAAAACAATGCCAACTTGTTCAACAAATCGTTTTTGCGATGTTTCTGAGAAGAAGAAGACAAGCTAATCAATTGTGTTCTTCCAGGAAAGAACCGGCCACAAAATACGAAATGAATATTTGAAGGGCAAGAATTACAAATGTAGTTGTTTCGCTGTGACAAACAAACTACTACGTCATTGTGAATTGATCGAAGTTTGCTTAAATAAAGGTGCACGTATAGAAATTTTCAACGAAACTTTCGCGTAGAATCGAATGTTTGGAGAATGGCTATTGGCATTGGATCTTCGAAAACAGTTATACGCGTAATACTACTCGCTTTCTATTTCTAACAATCGATCTCGTAATATAATCGTTAACCTCCAGAGAATGACCTGTGTGATGATATTACACTGCCCGATGTCCTTAGCCGCCAGCGCAGCGCTTGAGGATAGCATCAGAACCACTAAGAGATCACAAAAGCCTTGCGATGTTAGATCTCTTGATTAGAACATGGCGACGTTTTCAAAACCAAGAATGTCCACCACAAAACCCCACAAATTTAGGTCTCCTTTAAAGATACACTCCAATTTTGCTGTTTAATGTTACAAATTTTGCCTATTTGAAGCAAAGACGAAGGCGTTTTGAGTCCAAAATCGACTCAGTAAATCAAAATTTACGGTATAAACCATCGACGTCGACCCGGAAGTTGTTATTTTAATTCTTACCTCTTTTAAGAGTTATTTCTTGCTCGCTATCCCAGACGATTTATGTACGAAGAAGCAAGCAGCGGCTTAAAAGATCACTAAGAGAGAAAGTTTCTTGGCTCGGCTGTAGTGTCTGGGAGCAGAAATGTCAGGATGATCGCAAAATAGGTTCAGGACAAGAGATCATGATAGGACAGTGACCTATTATGGCTCTTGGTTCAGGATCAATGGAAAGACATATTGAATTCGACCTCGGTCTTCCACAAATCTTATAGTGTATGTTCTTTAAGAAAGATAACAAATGTTTTCGATACCTTAATATTACAAATCTTCTTCTGACACTGTGTGTTGCTTGCCCCTGAAAATACGTTGAAAATGAAACCAAAAGAGATCGAAAGGAAACAATTCGATAAAAAGGGAGATTTCCCACAGTTTGTGTTTCACTTCACATAATTGAGGATCGAAGAGGAATATCTGCTTACTTGACACAAAACAAACTAGAGATGAATTCCAAGAAAACCATCATGATTTCCGTCGTTTTGCATTTTTCTTAAGCACTGACACAGACGTCCTACCTTTGAGAACTAAAAGTAATAAACGATCGCCTAGTATTAAAGTTTCTAGACACGAATACGGAAATGGGGACGGTTTACCGGAACGGTGCGTTTTGTTGAATAGATGAACAAACGGTTTTACAATTCAAAACCATTCAGACGGTGGTAAAATTATTTTCAAGAATATTACTCTTCCGTCATGGACTCCATAACCTGGAATCTGTGGAATCATTTCTTTGACTGCAATCGTGGCCAAAACCCTGCCTGCCAGACGGGAATTGGGGGGCTACCATTAACCATCCATTTGTTACCGCAGACTGAGAATTTGCCCAAACAGAATTTCGTAGTAGAATAAGCGATTTTCGAATTCAAGACTAATAACCCTATTGCCGGCATCAGAATAAATTCATGATCATGATTAGTCCAAGCTTTACAGGGACCATGTGGGGGCAGGGGGGAGGGGGGCGTGATACTATTTTTAATCTTTTTCAAAAAGCTTAAGCGTGTCTTCGCATCAATTTGTGCATTGAAACTGTTTCTGTTGTCCGTCGTCACAAATTGCAAAGATAGACATGGATTGAAATTTTAAAAAGGATGAATTGGGCAAACTTTTTCAAGTTTTTATCCTATGCTTGCAAAAATCACCAAAACAATATTATTATTACTTAGATGAAATTTAAAGGAGGCTCCTTCAAAACTCTACAGGAACTGACCAAAAACAGCAATCCTCCTGAAAAAGCCCCTTTAAACAGACGAACTACCTTATAGTCAAAAGTTAAGTCTGTACACTAAAAAGGTTAGTGTCGAGCGGTGTATTAATTCGCGAAGAGTAGTTACCGTACACATCAGTCAATTGACATCCCCTTCCCCCACCCCCACCTCCCCACACATCCTTGGGGTGCATGCGGAATTTACCTCGGCCAAAGTCGGGATTTAAAGCACATTTAACTACGCGATTGCCCCCAACACGTGAGAACCCAGACTGAGTTTCGGATTGAGGTGTCTTTAAGTTGGCTCTAAAAGCTGTACTTATGCTGGTTTTGGGACCGAAGACAAATTAGCGCCTCGTTTCGCTAAAGTTTCGGAAACCGACTGAATTTAATCGATAAATGAAGCAGCGGTTCCAATGAACAGATACCAAGAAAGAGGAAAAAATAGGACTTTTCGGTGTTTTCTTGTAGGTAGAAAAGTATTTCTCTTATGAATCATAAAAGTTTACCAGACAAAAGAAACCGAAATATCTGTAACATTGTCAATTTTAATTGTTTAAGTTCTAAAAAACATAAAAAAGCCTTGTTAATAACTGACCTCTTTTTTTCAAAACATTACCTTTTCATTTTTATCTGTCTGATACTGTAAATACTAAAACATTAATATCCCCGTCGGGGTCGACGGTGCCCGTATTGTGCTTGTAAATGCTGGAAAAATGCTTACCACACGCAGCCCAAGCTCGAAAATGCGCATTTATTTTTTTTCCTTTTCCGGCTTACCTTTTATAGGTTGGTAAACACTCAGAAATTCGCATAACTTGAAGTTTTCTATGAAACAGTTGATTTTTTTTCGTGCTTGATATGTGCCCTTAACCTATAATTTGCTCAAAAATTGCTCAGAAAGGCAAAAGTTGCTCAAAATCGGGACTTTTATTCGGGACAGGCATAACGGTGCCTAGCGCTAGGAATATACTACTTTTTTATCCACCACTATTCTGTGACCTCTCCTTCGGAGGATAGTTGTATAAAATACAAACAAACATGAAACAATCGAACGAACAAAGCTTTTAAAAAAATACTGAAAATATCTGATATGAACTTTTGACATTAGCTATATTATAACTTTTATGAATAAAAACAATGGAAGTGATAGAATATGCATGAAATGTTGTGTCGACTGTGCAATCCTTAACTTTATTCGCCTCAGACTTTGTTTATTTGTTCTGTTTAATTCCATATAAACCCTCTTTCACCATTTGAACTATTTTTATATCCGTAACT